CAGCCGCCGGCCGCGCTGCTGCGCAGGCGCGAAGGCCCCGCCCTGCGTGCGCGTGTCGGGGTGCGTGTGTGTGTGTGTCTGTGTGTGATAGTGTGTGTGTGTGTGTGAGTGTGTGTGTACAGCCTTCAGATTTGCCCAATCGGAGCCGGGGTCAGGTGTAGGAGGGCGGGTCCTCGCGGGGAGGGGCGGGGCCCCGAGTGACAGGGTGGGTGGGGCAGCGGGAAAGGGGCTGGGTTTTTGCCCGGAGGAGGAGGAGCTGCTGCTGTCTGGGCTGGAGCGGCTTGCTTGGCCGTTTTGACTCCAGTACCATATTTTTTGGACTAGTTTTGGTTTTAGGCCTTTGGAATCCCTAACACACACAGCGAAAGCCTCTGTGTTTTTTTTTTTTCTTTCCTCAATACATTATGACTCTGTGAGATATTGATTTGAATATATATATATGAAAAAAAGTTGAATTGGTATCTTAAATACTGTTTAAGATTAGCCACAATGCTGTTTCTGTTTTGTTTTGGAGACAGGGTTTTTTTTTTAAACATTAATTATATTTATTCGTTAATTTACATCCCGACTGCAGTTTCCCCTCCCTCCTCTCCTCCCATCCCGCTCCCCCCTCTCCTCCCATCCACTCCTCTGTTTCTGTTCAGAAAGGGGTAGGCCTCTTATGGGTATCAACAAAGCATGGCATATCAAGTTGAGGTAGGATTGAGCTCCTCCCCTTATGTTAAGCCTGGACAAAGCAACCCAGTGTGAGGAATAGGTTTCCCCAAAGTCTGCCAAAGTGTTAGGGACAGCCCCTGCTCCCGCTGCTGGGAGTCCCACGAATAGACCAAGCTACACAACTGTCACACATATGTAGAGGGCATAGGGGGTTCCATGAAGGCTCCCTGGCTGTTGGTCCAGACTCTGTGAGCCCCTTGAACCACCCTCCACCCTTCACCCCCACTGCCCCGGACAGGGCTTCTTTGTGTAGTTCTGGCTGTCCTGGAACTCACTCTGTAGACTAGGGTGGCCTCAAACTTACAGAGGTCCACTTGTCTCTGCCTCCCGAGTGTGGGTTTAAAGGCATGCAGCGCCACCGCCTGGACACAATGCTGTATTTTACAACGGAAGAGAATACTATTTAAAAAAATAGCTTAAGGCTATGTGCACGCCTTTAATCCAGGAGGCAGAGGCAGCGGATCTCTGTGAGTTCGAGGCCAGCCTGGGATACAGAGTGAGTTCCAGGAAAGATGCAAAGCTACACAGAGAAACCCTGTCTCAAAAAACAAACAAACAAACAAACAAATACACAAAAAAGCTTAAGTGCTGTGGGATGGTCTGTATGTCAAATTACTCTGATTGGTCAATAAATAAAACACTGATTGGCCAGTGGTTAGGCAGGAAGTATAGGCAGGACTAACAGAGAGGAGAAAAGAAAGAACAGGAAGGCAGAAGGAGTCACTACCAGCCACCACCAAAACAAGCAGAATGTGAAGATGCCGGTAAGCCACGAGCCACGTGGCAAGGTATAGATTTATGGAAATGGATTAATTTAAGATACAAGAACAGTTAGCAAGAAGCCTGCCACGGCCATACAGTTTGTAAGCAATATAAGTCTCTGTGTTTACTTAGTTGGGTCTGAGCGACTGTGGGACTGGCAGGTGACAAAGATTTGTCCTGACTGTGGGCAAGGCAGGAAAATTCTAGCTGCACTTAAGTCCCATTTTAGTGCTCAAAAATTAGAGATAAGTTTCCACACAGGAAGTGACAGAGACAGAAGCTCAAATTAGAGATGTTTAATTCTAGAGTTTGTGGATTTACCAACTACGAAATTTCGTTAGTATCTTTTCAATCCTCCAAGAGTTAAAGCCCTGTGTCCCTGTACCTGGAAAGTATCCTTCAGAAAAACTACCTCCACTCTCAAGTAGAACTGGAGATGATGTCAAGAGTATGCAATTCAGTCTTCGAATAAAGGCTGTAAAGGGGTCCAGAGTCTAGAATACAGGATGGCAGATTTGAAGAGCTGAATGCCGGTCCATTACATGGGAGTTTTCACAGGCTGAGTATAACGATATAATGCTTATGCAAGACTGCGAGGATCTTCCTCATAAATCACTCTAGATGGAGGCATGCAGACTAGGAAAAAAGCTTGAGTGCAGATGAGGGAGAGAAGAAACAAATGTTTCTCTAAGCAGAGGGAGAAAAAGAGAGTTTTGTCCAAAGAATAACAACTAGTAATCCTTACAAAGCCAGTTCTTAATTTCTGGCTTTTGTAGTTTCTTATTGCATCTTACAGATGAGAATTACTGATACCATGAGAGATTAGACAAATTATTGTGTTGAAAAAGTTCATGTGATATTATCTCGCTGGAAGAACACCCCTTTAAAATATTTGTAAATGTTGGCCATATATTTAATTCACAATCTCTCCAAGATATAAAGAGTAGTTCATTCTTTTCTTAAAAACCGACAGAGATGGTGTGTGGAGAAGAGCAGCAAGATGTATCATTAAAGTGTGGGAAGGCCAGCTGGGGGGAGGCAGGTATGGATTCCTTGCATACTTAACATCATCCCCAAATGCCTTTGAAGACCTTAAACAGATTTCTGTCTCTCTTTCCACTCAGGAATCTGATGACCAAATTTAGGATTTTTAAAAAACAGCATTATTGAGGTGTAATTGACATATGGAACATATTTAAAGTGCATACTTTGGCATGTTTTGACATATGTGTGAAGCCACAAATTAACATGTGCATCACCCTCAGGTATCCTGGTGCCCCTTTATAGTTTCTTCCTTCCTGCCTCACACCTAAGCAACAAAAATAAGTTCTATTTTTGTTAGTGTGAATCCATCTCCATCTTCTTAATGGCACGTAAGTACAGTCCCAGTAGGTACTCTTTTTCTGTTTGCCTTCTCTCATGCAGTATAATCGTTTGGATATTCATCTGTGGTCTGCATAGTAGTTCCTTTTTTGTTGCTAAATATATTTCACTGCATGGATGAACTGCAGTTTCTTTTCTAGTCACCAGTTAATGGACAATTAGAGCATGTCTATTTTCAACCTGTTTTCAAGAGAGCACATGTGTAGCACAAATTGTTAGCAGGTCTTATTAATAAAATCAAACCTGGAGCCAGGTATTTGGGTGAACACTGGAAGATCAGAGAAACAGAACAAGCCACAGCCACCTCACCTTGCCAATTCCTTAGTTGATCCTGTTTCCTCAGACTGGAAGCCTCTGAGTCCTTTCCCAAATGGATCTCAGCTGAACTGCTGCTAAAAGCCTAAAATCTTAACCAGGCTCTAGTTCCTGGTTTTTATGCCTTATATACCTTTTTGTTTCCTGCCATCACTTCCTGGGATTAAAGTCATGTGCCACCATGCCTGGCAGTTTCTAGTGTGGCTTTGAACTCACAGAGATCTGGATGGATCTCTGCCTCCTAAGTGATAGGATTAAAGGTGTGTGTGCCACCATTTTCTGACCTCTATGTCTATCTACTGGCTGTTCTGTTCTCTGACCCCAGATAAGTTTATTAAGGTGCACAATATATTGGGGAACACAATATCACCACAACTATGAAAATTTTCATGTAAGAAAATATATATGTACATACATTTCCTTTGCTATTGTGTGAATAACTAAAGTGTAAGGACTGGATCATATGGTAGATGCATGTTTAACTTTTTAAGAAATTGCTACATTATCTTCCAAAGTAGATGAATGATTTTACATTCCCACCATGTAGGTTCCACTGGCTCCACATACTCACCAATATTTGGTACTTTTAGACTTTTTCCATGGGTGGTTGTGGCAATTATATGAGTTGTTACATGTTAAAAAGCAGACAGGTCAGAATCTAGGGGACAGTAGCCACACAGGAGCTAGCTCTCAGTAGTCAGTAAAGTGAGGGAAAAGGACCTTTGGTTAAAACTCCAAGCAACTCACATATGCTATGGTAAGGATGGACTTTAGGGATAAGGGGAGATTAAAGGTTAAGTTAACAAAATCTGGAGTACTGAAGCAGATGAGGAAGAGGGCTTGTAGCTGGGTATGAGAAAACCAAGATAGACAAGAGGAGAGAGACAGGGCTCTGGGCCAGTGTCAGCGGGCTGCCTACCCATCTGTTTCCTCTCCGCCTCCCAGAGTCCAGGAAGAACCAATATAAGACACTATTGATGGCCTCTCATCTACTCTTGCTTCTGGTGTAGGTAATCGGAGCAGGCTATATTGTAAGAATAGCTTCTAACAAGCCGTTTCCACCTAGTGGAGGGGGGGTGTCACCCCAGAGCACTTCACAGACAAGAAGCTAAATAAGAGAGAACCCAAACTGGAGTGACGTGTTGGTGGTTGGGATAGGGTTAACTCTGTGCCATAGTAAAGTTCCTACCTG